GACGGGGGTGGTTAGGGTTTGGCCGAGTGGGGAGCGGGGGGTTATGCAGGAGGCGAGTGGGCCGGCCTGGGGGCCCGATGGCCTGCTGGGCCGAGGCCCAGTGGGGGGGGGGTTTGCTCTTTTTTTTTTGTTCTTTTTGTTTTGAGCTTTTTCCCTTTATCTAATTTTCCTTTCTAACTTAGTTTCTATTTATTTTAGTTTTATTAAATATAACACTAGCCCCTAAATTAGTATTTATAAGTACTCTATTGCCACATGAATTTCTCATACCTAATAAAATATTTTAATGTTTTAATATTTATAAAATGCCTTTAATTATTCGTTTAAGCCACTGTTTTATTTAGTTTAGTGCTTTTAGTTATTTTATAAAAATGTGTTTTCTATACTATAATTACCTATGCCATTTTTGGCACAGCCCGAACATTTTAGTTTAATATTTTGAAAACTTTTGTCGTTTGATTGATTTAGGATTTAAATTCAAAACGGTTTCGAATCAACCCGAGATTAATTACAGTGACAGAGGTGATGTGTCATCATTAGTAGAGGACTACTATAGCTTGATTATCCGGACGTCACACGTCCACTCTAGGTCATCATGAATGCGGGCTGCTGGCTTCGGGCAGGAATGCGCGCAGGTGCGGGAAAGAGGGTTTTGGTGGGCCAGGTCACTCAGACGCAGGTGTGGCAGTGGTTCATACACACGCAAAGCCCTCCCCCCTCGAAAATAAATTTATGTATGATTTATGAGGAAAAGTGTCGTCTGGGCCGCCGAACGGACAGACGCGGAACCGCGTTGGATGGTAAAACATGTCTAGACCAAGCGGTCCGAATAGTTGCGGATGGTTTGAGGGTCAGCGTTGGAGATACCCTAAGAGCTATATCATCAAAAAGTGATTGGAGTAAAATTTACATCATCAAAACGTCCAACTCCAACGGATAATGTAAAATAGAGCAACACAAATTTATTCTTCACAATTACATATCCGTTGAACAAAACTTGACATATAATGTTCCTGGAGGCCCGGTGGATCCCAATTCTAGCCAGTGGAAGGGTTCCGTTTTTAGGTAAAAATATAGTTTTGATAGAATTTATGTCCTACTTAAAAAGGCGAGGCGGCGACGACTTACTGGGGATGGGATAATATTCTTCCTGTCTAGCCTTTGTCTCGGTAGTGCTTCTAATGTCGTTGAAGGGCATGTGAATGTTTGTCTCTGACGATCTCGCAAGATTTGGTCGGCTTTTGTCTTTTTTCTCTGTGGGAAACCATCTGATCTATTCATTTTCAATTATGATAATAAGCCAAACACCGAAAAAAATAAAAATTACATTCAGATTCATAGACCACATATGCGACCACACAAGCACTGAGGCGAGCCAAAGGCGCACCGCCATCATCGTCCCTACCTCACCGGAGCCGGACAAAACTTGTTGTAATAGACAGTCAGGAAGTCATTGTGCTGAGATCCCATAGAACTAGCGCACTAGAACAGCACACGAACATAGAGGAACGACGACCAGATCCACCAAAGGCAGATGCTTCGGAGACACACCTCCACTTGCCCATCAATGATGCTAGATGCACTACCGGGATGGGGGCTAGATGGAGGAACCTTATTTCATCTTCAGGGAGCCGTTGTCGCCTCGCTTTGCTAAGCAAGACACAAACCCTAGCAGAACTCAAAGAAACATATAAAGTCGGAGTTATCCCACCGGCAAAGACCGGGATCCATCGCGTCTCCATGGTCCTAAGGATAGAGGAGACGAGGCGGACCGGCGGCAATGCCTATGGGAGGTAGAAGAAACCTAGTCTTTTCTAGGAGGAGGCAAGAGGCTTGATGGATCCGTTTGGATCTGTTTTTCGTTCGTCAATGTTCGTGTGTCTGCAGTTGGATCCTTCCAATCTACGCTCCTCTACATAGACGACAGTTGCTGTTGTGATGCATTGGTCCTTGGGGGCTTAGCACGGTAACTTAAGAATTGTTTACTACAACATTTGTTGCCCAACTCTGATGATGGGCGCAATGACGACATCACATTTTGGGTCCGCTTCAGTGTTTGTAATCATCGTTAGTCTACGGACTAGGATATTATTTTTATATCTAGTGTTCTTTTGCATTAATTTTAGTGATGATGGATAGATAGACGAAGTTTTTTTAAACAAAAAGGATACTCCCTCCATCCATATATATACGGCTTAATGCGTTTTTCGAGATTGCTTTTGGCTATTGACAGAATTAATAATATATGTGATGCATAACGTGAAAACTATATCATTAGAAGCTTCTTTCACGTACAAATTTAATGGTGTGCTTTGTGCATGATGCATGTCATATATTAATTCTAATATATGGTCAAAGTTAACCTCAAAAAATGCATTAGGCCTATATAGATGGATAGAGGGAGTAACACGTTGTAAAATGTTGACGTCATCGCACAGGTCACTGTTTAAGGCAGGTTTTTTTTCAAACACAATCTAGACGCAAGCGCTCATATACACACACGTATACACTCATCACTATAAACGCACATCCTATCCCTATGAGCACCTTCGAAAGACTGAACCGACATATCATCTTGAAATTTACGAAGTCACTGTAGGCATCGCGTCGTCGACGGGAACGTCTCCTCCCACTGAATATGCATCGTCAGAAATCCTGAAACAAATACAGATAAATACGAACATCGGGACTTGAACCCTGATTTTTTTTAAGAAAAGGAGAATGATCTCCGGCCTCTGCATCAGGACTTGAACCCTGATGTGCTAGAGATACCACGTTCCGTCTAACCATCCAAGCACAAACTGACTCGCCTGTTTAAGACAGGTTGAGGGTGCAAAGGGAAATGATTGTCTACGTTAATCTGAATTGTTTATGTTAATTCGTGTGCAAATGGCCGGGCTGGAGTACTTTTTTTGGCATCGATTCCAATTGTTCAGCGTGCGGCCAATTTGAGCATATACGATTACGCGGACTGCCCGACCATGGCTCCTGTTTCCACCTCGATTCCAAAGTGGATAGAATTGTTAATTCAATCCACGAAATGGTCGAGGACGTGGGCATAGCCCAGTGGTTGGGGGCGCATGATTGTAAACCTAACAACCAGAGTTCGATCCACGTCGGGGACGAATTTCTGGAATTCTCATGAGGGATGCTTCTTCTATATCAAGAAAACCGTGGGTGCTAGTGCGCATGGAGTTTCATTTTTTTTTAATCCACGAAATGGTCGCCGATGCCCACCAGTGATACGATTTTGCTCCGGGAGCCATGCCCGAGGCGTGCTGCAACACTGCAATCGTGCACACACTTCGCTTCCGCTCGTCGGAAACTCGACCGCGCGCGACCGCGGCCATGGATCCGGACACCGAGGTCGACTTCGACTTCTCGCCGTTCCTCATCCGCTACAAGAGCGGCCGCGTCCACCGTCTCATGGGCGCGTCCAGAGTCGACGCCGGCACGGACGCCGCCACGGGCGTCACCTGCAAGGACGTCGTCATCGACGCCGACGCCGGCCTGGCCGCGCGGCTCTACCTGCCCAAGGACGTCCCGCGGTCCGAGAAGCTCCCCGTCCTCGTCTACTTCCACGGGGGCGCCTTCGCCGTCCACTCGGCCTTCTTCGGCACGCACCACCGCTTCCTCAACGCCCTCGTGGCCGCGGCCGGCGTCGTGGCCGTGTCCGTCGACTACCGCCTCGCGCCCGAGCACCCGCTCCCGGCCGCCTACGACGACGCGTGGGCGGCGCTCCGCTGGGCCCTGGCGAGCTGCGCGCCGGCCGCCGGGCGGGAGCCGTGGCTGGCCGACCACGGCGACGCTGCGCGCGTCTTCGTCGCGGGCGACAGCGCCGGCGCCAACATCGCGCACCACATGGCGACAAGGGCCGGCGGCGGAGAGAACGGGCTGCCGGCGGGCGCGCGGATCGAAGGGCTGGTGCTCCTGCACCCGTACTTCCGCGGCAAGGATCTGGTGCCGTCGGAGGGCGCGGACCCCAGGTTCCTGCAGAGGGTGGAGAGGTCGTGGGGCTTCGTGTGCGCGGGGAGGTACGGGGCCGACCACCCGTTCATCAACCCGCTGGCGATGCCGGCGGAGGAGTGGGCGGCGCTCGGCTGCCGGCGAGCACTTGTCACCGTGGCGGAGCTGGACACGATGCGGGACAGGGGCCGGAGGTACGTGGAGGCGCTGAGGGGGAGCGCGTGGACAGGGGAGGAGGCGGTGCTGTACCAGACCGGCGGCGAGGGGCACGTCTACTTCCTGGAGAAGTCCGGCTGGGGCGACAAGGCGGAGAGGGAGATGGACGCCGTCGTCTCGTTCATCAAGCGGAGCTAGGAAACGAAACGATCGATGTTGGGTTCATCTGTGATCTGTCACCGCCGATGGTGGAATTAACGCATGATTTGTTGGACCTTTTGCTCAGATTGTTCCCGGGTTTTCCAAATCATTGTTCCTTTCTGCTCTTGTGCTTGAGCTAGGAGCCACTGCTTCTGTTGTTGGCTTCAATGATTACTTCCTTTTTATTTCAGGCTCAGCAATTTCTTTTTAACACATATACACTCATCTCTATAAATACACACACGCATACCTTATCTATAAAAGCATATCCGACAGACCAGGTCGGTATATCATCTTAAGATTGATGAAGTCGTCACAGGCGTTTTCGTAAGTCGACGAAAACGTTTCCTCGCACTCAACACACATCAACACACATTGCTTGAAGGTCTGAAATACATCTAAAAAAATACGACCCCCAATGTCAAGGTTAGAACTTGAATCCTAATGGATTGGTTTCACGATTCCGGTTCTACCACAAAAAATCTGACCATCTAAGCTATGCTCAATTTGCTTCCGAGCTTAGTTGTTGATGGGTGGAGATGGCTAAGGGCAAATCTTTGTAAACTTGGCTGCTGCATATTTCTTTAATCTTTCTTTCTTGATGATAACGACATGGCCCCATGCGATTTTATGTTAGAATTGTGTCGAATGCACTGTATAAAATACTTCCTCCACTTCATAATACAGTGGGTCTACACTTTTTAGGATTCAACATTGATCATAAATTAGACCAATAATATATAAATTATTTTATTGAAAATTTATACCTTTGAAAACTTCTTTCGAATACGAATTCAAGGTATCCGTCGCGCTCCCGCCGCAGTCATCCATGTTGATTAAAATTATGATTAAAGTTAAATCTCGAAAAGCATGAACGTGCTACATTATGAAATGGAGGGAGTATGTTATAATTGGAGTTGCATTCGTAGAGCGTGTAGACAGGATACGAAGTCGTGCTCGGATAAATAGTGATTGACACACGATTAAAATATGTCAATGTCGTCTGACACATGCGCACAAGGAATCCGATGATATGTGTCAACACCACGGCAATTCCTTTAACACCACTATTTCCAAGTGTCATTTTGCTCTCTACCCAGGTGAAAATCCATCCAGGTAGACGATAAATTTCAAAAAATAGTATAATGAATTATGATAGTTTTAGACAAACATTCTTGCAGTAATGAATTATGATAGTTTTAGGGGGGACACTAGGCGTCGGCTGGCGGATCTTTTAAAAAGATCCGCTGCCTTCGCATCCATTTGGTCAGGGCAATCCAGTGGCGCGGTTCCTTCCTCAGCGTTGCAACAGACCTCTTGTTGCAGAAACATTTGCAACAGAGGTGTTGTTGCAGAGTTTTTTTTGTCTGAACTCTTTTGAAATATGAGTGCCGTTGCGGAAGAAATTTGCAACACAGATGATGTTGTAGAACTTTCTTTTTCTTAAATTTTTGCCAACATGGGTATTGTTGTGAAAAGACTTCTGCAACACAAATGATGTTGCAGAATTTTTTTCGTCTTAACCTTTTTGCAACATGAGTGTTGTTTCGGAAGGACTTCTGCAACGTGGGTGTTGTTGCGGAAGGACTTTTGCGTCTAATGGTGAAGGTCCTGGCCGGTTGTGTGTCGGCTGCTCAAGCTCGTATCTGACGGTTGCGCATGCGACGGAAGCTCGTATCTGACGGTTGCGCATGCGAGACGTGGATCTGACGAATTGAGTGGCCGAGCATTATCCTCTACCATTGCAACAAATGTCGTGTTGCGGTAATTTTCTGCAACACGGGTCATGTTGCGGAAAATTTTGCAAAATATAGGTAAAGTTGTAGATTTTTTTTGTAACAAAGGCATTGTTAAAAAAATTGCAACGGAGTTCATGTTGCAATTTTTGTTTTTGCAATGGAGGTCATGTTACAGTCTTTTGTACAACAGAGGCCTTGCTGCAGTTAATTATTTTCGTAACAGAGGTTTCGATGTTTTTTTTTTGCAACAGAGATCTTGTTGCAGAAAGAAGAGATTGTGGGAAGTCAGGTCCATCCCGTGAGAAGCATGACATCCCAGCAAGATGGCAAATGTGAAAGGCTCTAAGTCAGAGTTACACCGCATGGTATATGAAAAAAAAAATCAAACAATGGACCATAGGGGCCCACGCACCTGCACGCTCCGTGTGAACACTTCTAGCGTGGCGTGAAATCACGATGAAGCGATCGAACGGTGCAGCGCCCGGCGGATGCGCAAGCTATAATCAGCCGGCTGATTAACAACGTTTCCCTAGTTTTAGACGATGGAATTAACGCATGATTTGTTGGACCTTTTGCTCAGATTGTTCCCGGGTTTTCCAAATTATTGTTCCTTTCTGCTCTTGTGCTTGAGCTAGGAGCAAGTGCTTCTGTTGTTGGCTTCAATGACTACTTTTTTTTCTTTTTATTCCATGCTCAGCTATATTTTTTAACACATATACACCTTATCTCTATGAGTATATCCTAGAGACCAAGTCGGTATATCATTTTGAGATTGACGAAGCCGTCACAAACGTCTTTGTAAGTCGACGAGAACGTCTTTTCCCACTGAACGCGCATTGCCAGAAGGTCTGAGATAAATTCAAGAAAATACGATCACTAATGTTAAGGCTAGGACTTGACCCTAATGAGTTGGTTTCACCACAAAGAAAATCTGACCATCTGAACTACGCTCGATTTGCTTCCGAGCTCAGCTGTTGACTGGTGGAGATTGCTAAGTGCAAGTCTTTGTAAACTTGGATGCTACATATTTTATAATCTTTCTTCTCGATGATAACGACATGGCCCCGTGCATACTTTATGTTAGAATTGTGTCGTATTTTGATGTTAGAATTGTGTCGAATGCACTATACAAGCTATGTTATAATTGGACTTGTATTCGTAGAACGTGTAGATAGGGTAAAGAGTCGTGTTTGGATAAATAGTGATTGACACACGATTAAAATATGTCAACATCGTCCAAAAGAAAAAAAAACATATGTTAACATAATAACACATGCGTGCAGAGAAGCCGATGACACGTGCCATCACCTAAATAGCCAGTTTGTGGTATTGTAGCGGTGTCATTAGAGAGGAGCGCCCAAAAAAGGTTAGATATGACAGCAATCCCTTTGACACCATTATTTCCAAGTGTCATTCTGCTCTCAACCCAGGTGAAAATCCACCCAGATAGACAGTAAATTAAAAAAAATAGTATAATGAATTATGATACTTTTAGACAAACATTCTTGCGTGTTCTCTCTATGTATAAATTTTCGTGAAAAGATTGCATTTGTGATGCTTTGGGTAAAGAATAAGCACCCCAAAATTATTGAAAGATGAGCTTTTTCGGAGTATTGGTTATATTTTTTCCCTGATCACATCGAATACTTTTTCTTCATAAAATCCTGCACGGAAGTGAAACATTCAAACACGTGTCCTGTAAAAAAAGAGTTTAGTATTTTCTTTTGGGTTTTAACTATTATTTTGGATTTTACTGTTAAGACGAGAGCATGTGCTCCGGGAGCAAAAACTCCATGCCGGACATAGAGTTTCCGAGTTTTTACTCCAAGCTCAAATGCACCCTCGTGAATGTGAAAAATATGGAACTCTACAATATTTGTTGTTGTATTGATGTGGTCCCATGTGTATATTTAGAGTACAAACTAGAAAATGCTTAAGGTACAAGGCAAGATATTATGTGTTTAAATTAATTCTATCTCTATCTCCTTATTTCTTTCTTCATCATGTTTATACTTCTAACATTTTCCCCAGTCGTAGCGGGAGTGAAGCGGACGATTGCGACTGAATTTGAAGTCTTGTGCTTTTGTCGTCTTCTTCCCTATGCCATCATCACTGCGCCTCTAATGGCTGGTAGGTCAGCACCCAGGGCGGTGACCGCGGCCCCTTCTGACAGTTGTAGGTGTGGCCATGCATATCTATGTCGAGGTAGCCAATCATGTAGTAGCAGTGGTCGGTGATGTAGTCGTCGTGGATGATGACGCCACACAAAACCAGATGCGTAAGAAAGATGTGTTATGTTGTAGATGACGGAGTTGCAGTCGTGGACGATGCACTTTCGCAAATGTCAGAGGTTGCCGTCGGCGATGAGTCCACTGATTTTGCCAGGATTGGAGGAAACCCATCAAGCACACATCTGTTTTGTTAGGACCATGTGTCCGTATAGGGTCGTAATTGTAGTGACGACATGTCAATGCAGTCGTCTCATCATAGATGACGCGGTCACCGCCCAAGGTGCTAACCTATTAGCCATTAGAAATGCAGTGAGGATGGCATACCGGAGAGAATAGGACAAGCGCAAGCCTTCAAATACAGCTACAATCGGCCGCTTGGAGAAACATTAGAAGTATATTATGATGAGCTAGAGATATAAGAGCAACTTCAATGGGGCGACCCAAACGGACGGCGATTTCATCCGTTTTTTGTCCGTTTGGGTCGGCCGGCCGCCCGGCGTTCGCCCTGTTTTAGATATGAGTCAGCAGTGTGCCCAACGCGCCGACCCATATGTGCCGGCGTAACCGGCTGGCCGCATTATTTCAACAAATTGCTCATTTTTGCATTGATGAATCTACATTTAAACATATAGTCAAATAGCGTATAGTCAAACATATAGTCAAATAACATAGTTTGAACCGAATGAAATAGCATAGCTTTATAAGCCGAATAAAAATAAAAATGTCTCACATAGTTTTGCAAGCCGAATAAAAGAAGATACATCTATTGGTTGCCAACATGAGCCCACATATGCTTAACCTATTAGGGAACGTAGCAGAAATTCAAAATTTTCTATGCATCACCAAGATCAATCTATGGAGTAATCTAGCAACGAGGGAAGGAGAGTGCATCTACATACCCTTGTAGATCGCTAAGCGGAAGCGTTCAAGTAAACGGGGTTGATGGAGTCATACTCATCGTGATTCAAATCACCGATGATCCTAGTGCCGAACGGACGGCACCTTCGCGTTCAACACACGTACAGCC